ATATTGGGAAATATTCGATTCGCGCCGAATCCGAAAATTAGCCAACTTCGGATGCACGAATCGAATTTTCCCAAAAATGGCGGCGACATGTGTGGCGACGGAGCGGGGATCTCTGGGAAGGCGCGCAGACAAGGCGCGCTGACCCATAATGCATTCATTCATGACATGTGATCGCATTAGCCAATCAGCAGCCAGCCAGCCAGCACTGTGTAATGGTGGAGCTATAAATTGCGGCCATCTTACAATTCTCCATTAGCCTCCGGTCATTCAAGAGAGACAGACCTGTCTGTATTAGGGACAGAGTTAGGGCCAGAGAGACTTTAGGGCCACAGAATCGTTACTTAGGGACACAGAATCGTTACTTAGGGACACAGAATCGTTACTCAGGGACACAGAATTGTTACTCAGGGACACAGAATTGTTACTCAGGGACAGACACAGAATTGTTACTGAGGGACACAGAATTGTTACTGAGGGACACAGAATTGTTACTCAGGGGGACACAGAATTGTTACTCAGGGACACAGAATTGTTACTCAGGGACACAGAATTGTTACTCAGGGACACAGAATTGTTACTCAGGGGACACAGAATTGTTACTCAGGGGACACAGAATTGTTACTGAGGGACACAGAATTGTTACTGAGGGACACAGAATTGTTACTCAGGGGGACACAGAATTGTTACTCAGGGACACAGAATTGTTACTGAGGGACACAGAATTGTTACTCAGGGACACAGAATTGTTACTCAGGGACACAGAATTGTTACTCAGGGAGGGACACAGAATTGTTACTCAGGGACACAGAATTGTTACTCAGGACAGGGACACAGAATTGTTACTCAGGGACACAGAATTGTTACTCAGGGACACAGAATTGTTACTGAGGGACACAGAATTGTTACTGAGGGGACACAGAATTGTTACTCAGGGACACAGAATTGTTACTCAGGGACACAGAATTGTTACTGAGGGACACAGAATTGTTACTCAGGGACACAGAATTGTTACTCAGAGGGACACAGAATTGTTACTCAGGGACACAGAATTGTTACTCAGGGACACAGAATTGTTACTCAGGGACACAGAATTGTTACTCAGGGACACAGAATTGTTACTCAGGGACACAGAATTGTTACTCAGGGACACAGAATTGTTACTCAGGGACACAGAATTGTTACTCAGGGACACAGAATTGTTACTCAGGGACACAGACAGAATTGTTACTCAGGGACACAGAATTGTTACTCAGGGACACAGAATTGTTACTCAGGGACACAGAATTGTTACTCAGGGACACAGAATTGTTACTCAGGGACACAGAATTGTTACTCAGGGGACACAGAATTGTTACTCAGGGACACAGAATTGTTACTCAGGGACAGACACAGAATTGTTACTCAGGGACACAGAATTGTTACTCAGGGACACAGAATTGTTACTCAGGGACACAGAATTGTTACTCAGGGGGACACAGAATTGTTACTGAGGGACACAGAATTGTTACTACTCAGGGACACAGAATTGTTACTCAGGGAGGGACACAGAATTGTTACTGAGGGACACAGAATTGTTACTCAGGGACACAGAATTGTTACTCAGGGACACACAGAATTGTTACTCAGGGACACAGAAATGTTACTCAGGGACAGACACAGAATTGTTACTCAGGGACACAGAATTGTTACTGAGGGACACAGAATTGTTACTCAGGGACACAGAATTGTTACTCAGGGACACAGAATTGTTACTCAGGGACACAGAATTGTTACTCAGGGACACAGAATTGTTACTCAGGGGACAGACACAATTGTTACTCAGGGACACAGAATTGTTACTCAGGGACACAGAATTGTTACTCAGGGACACAGAATTGTTACTCAGGGAGGGACACAGAATGTTACTCAGGGACACAGAATTGTTACTCAGGGGAGAATTGACACAGAATTGTTACTCAGGGACACAGAATTGTTACTCAGGGACACAGAATTGTTACTCAGGGACAGACACAGAATTGTTACTCAGGGACACAGAATTGTTACTGAGGGACACAGAATTGTTACTCAGGGACACACAGAATTGTTACTCAGGGACACAGAATTGTTACTCAGGGACACAGAATTGTTACTGAGGGACACAGAATTGTTACTCAGGGACACAGAATTGTTACTCAGGGACACAGAATTGTTACTCAGGGACACAGAATTGTTACTGACAGGGACACAGAATTGTTACTCACTGGGGACACAGAATTGTTACTCAGGGACACAGAATTGTTACTCAGGGACACAGAATTGTTACTCAGGGACACACAGAATTGTTACTCAGGGACACAGAATTGTTACTCAGGGACACAGAATTGTTACTCAGGGACACAGAATTGTTACAGAATTGTTACTCAGGGACAAGAATTGTTACTCAGGGACACAGATTGTTACTCAGGGGACACAGAATTGTTGTTACTCAGGGACACAGATTGTTACTCAGGGACACAGAATTGTTACTCAGGGACACAGAATTGTTACTCAGGGACACAGAATTGTTACTGAGGGACACAGAATTGTTACTGAGGGACACAGAATTGTTACTGAGGGGGGACACACAGAATTGTTTACTCAGGGACACAGAATTGTTACTCTGAGGGACACAGAATTGTTACTCAGGGGACACAGAATTGTTACTCAGGGACACAGAATTGTTACTCAGGGGACACAGAATTGTTACTCAGGGACACAGAATTGTTACTGAGGGGACAAGAGGGACACAGAATTGTTACTCAGGGGACACAGAATTGTTACTCAGGGGAGGGACACAGAATTGTTACTCAGGGACACAGAATTGTTACTCAGGGACACAGAATTGTTACTGAGGGACACACAGAATTGTTACTCAGGGACAGACACAGAATTGTTACTCAGGGACACAGAATTGTTACTCAGGGACACAGAATTGTTACTCAGGGACACAGAATCATTACTCAGGGGACACAGAATTGTTACTCAGGGACAGACACAGAATTGTTACTGGAGGGACACAGAATTGTTACTCAGGGACACAGAATTGTTACTCAGGGACACAGAATTGTTACTCAGGGACACAGAATTGTTACTCAGGGACACAGAATTGTTACTGAGGGGACACTGGGACAAAGGCCCGTGTTACTCAGGGACACAGAATTGTTACTCAGGACCACAGAATTGTTACTGAGGGACACAGAATTGTTACTCAGGGGTCTCAGAATTGTTACTGAGGGACACAGAATTGTTACTCAGGGGACACAGAATTGTTACTCAGGGACACAGAATTGTTGAATTAAAGGGACTGGCAGAATTGTTAACACGCAGAGGAGTGGCAGAATTGTTACAGGATGGGCAGACAGAATTACCGTTCAGCAGAGGGCAGGGGGTCAGAATTGTTAGCAGCACTAGTCACAGCCAGAGGGCCAGTGCTCCCGGCCACTTTCAGGCGTCAGATTGTTCCAGGGCGGTCATTGTGTCTCCACCACAGAAACCCTGCCGTCATCGATTGGTTGGCTCAGGGTCAGTCGTCCTACTCAGGTCACCATTTTACTCTACAGGCACAGAATTGTTACTCAGGGGGACACAGAATTGTCGTCAGCTGACACAACCAGTTGTTGGCATGGCCCGGGACCAAGCCCAGACTGAAATGGTGTGTCCTTACTCATGGGGACCCAGAATTGTTTGCTCAGGGACCATCGCCAAGCTCTCAGGTGACACAGAACTCAGGTCTCAGACACACTGCTGGTGGGAAGAGCTTACTCAGAGGGCTGGTCAGAGTTACGGGCCTCCCATTGCCTCTTGCTGCCAGGCCCGTAATCTGTATGGGGACAGGAGTAGTGCCTCCTCATGCTGCAGCAGGTTCAGAGACAGGTCTGTCTCCTGTCACTGCAGGGCCTCCCATTGCTTGTGTGAGGGGAGACACAGAATTCTGATGCCACTTTGAGGCTGATGCCACTTTTACTCAGGGGTCTCCTTGTTACTCAGGGACACAGTGCCAGCCCGTCATCAGGGTCACAGGGTGCTGGCAGATGGGGCCTCCCATTGCTGCTGCCAGGCCCGTAATCTGTCATGGGCCCCTGTACCGCCTCCTCATGCTGCTGCCAGGTCCAGAGTGTGTCATGGGTCCCTGTACGGCCTCCCATTGCTGCTGTCTCCATCGCCACACTCTGCCATGTGCCACTTTCAGGTCTCCTCACACTGCTGGTGGGTTCCATTTTGTCATAGGGTGCTGGCAGATTTACGGGCCTCCCATTGCTGCTGCCAGGGCCCGTAATCTGCCATGGGCCCATTGTACCGCCTGCCTCCTCATGCTGCTGCCAGGTCCAGAGTGTGTCTCATGGGTCCCTGTACGGCCTCCCATTGCTGCTGTCTCCATCGCCACACTCTGCCATGTGCCACTTTCAGGTCTCCTCACACACTGCTGGTGGGTTCCATTTTGTCATAGGGTGCTGGCAGATTACGGGCCTGGCCCATTGCTGCCTCCCATCTGCTGCTGCCAGGTACCGTATCTGCCATGGGCCCCTGTGTACCGCCTCCTCATGCTGCTGCAGGCCAGGTCCAGAGGTGTCTCATGGGTCCCTGTACGGCCTCCCATTGCTGCTGTCTCCATCGCCACACTCTGCCATGTGCCACTTTCAGGTCTCCTCACACTGCTGGTGGGTTCCATTTTGTCATAGGGTGCTGGCAGATTACGGGCCTCCCATTGCTGCTGCCAGGCCCGTAATCTGCCATGGGCCCCTGTACCGCCCTCCTCATGCTGCTGCCAGGTCCAGAGTGTGTCATGGGTCCCTGTACGGCCTCCCATTGCTGCTGTCTCCATCGCCACACTCTGCCATGTGCCACTTTCAGGTCTCCTCACACTGCTGGTGGGTTCCATTTTGTCATAGGGTGCTGGCAGATTACGGGCCTCCCATTGCTGCTGCCAGGCCCGTAATCTGCCATGGGCCCCTGTACCGCCTCCTCATGCTGCTGCCAGGTCCAGAGTGTCTCATGGGTCCCTGTACGCCTCCCATTGCTGCTGTCTCCATCGCCACACTCTGCCATGTGCCACTTTCAGGTCTCTCCTCACACTGCTGGTGGGTTCCATTTTGTCATAGGGTGCTGGCAGATTACGGGCCTCCCATTGCTGCTGCCAGGCCCGTAATCTGCCATGGGCCCCCGTACCGCCTCCTCATGCTGCTGCCAGGTCCAGAGTGTCTCATGGGTCCCTGTACGGCCTCCCATTGCTGCTGTCTCCATCCACACTCTGCCATGTGCCACTTTCAGGTCTCCTCACACTGCTGGTGGGTTCCATTTTGTCATAGGGTGCTGGCAGATTACGGGCCTCCCATTGCTGCTGCCAGGCCCGTAATCTGCCATGGGCCCCTGTACCGCCCCTCATGCTGCTGCCAGGTCCATGTCATGGGTCCCTGTGCCATGCTCAGGTCCAGAGTGTCTCATGGGTCCCTGTACGGCCTCCCATTGCTGCTGTCTCCATCGCCACACTCTGCCATGTGCCACTTTCAGGTCTCCTCACACTGCTGGTGGGTTCCATTTTGTCATAGGGTGCTGGCAGATTACGGGCCTCCCATTGCTGCTGCCAGGCCCGTAATCTGCCATGGGGTACCGTCCCATGCTGCTGCCCTTACGGGCCTCCCATTGCTGATGCTGTGCATGGGCCCTTGTACCGCCTCCTCATGCTGCTGCCAGGTCCAGAGTGTCTCATGGGTCCCTGTACGGCCTCCCATTGCTGCTGTCTCCATCGCCACACTCTGCCATGTGCCACTTTCAGGTCTCCTCACACTGCTGGTGGGTTCCATTTTGTCATAGGGTGCTGGCAGATTACGGGCCTCCCATTGCTGCTGCCAGGCCCGTAATCTGCCATGGGCCCCTGTACCGCCTCCTCATGCTGCTGCCAGGTCCAGAGTGTCTCATGGGTCCCTGTACGGCCTCCCATTGCTGCTGTCTCCATCGCCACACTCTGCCATGTGCCACTTTCAGGTCTCCTCACACTGCTGGTGGGTTCCATTTTGTCATAGGGTGCTGGCAGATTACGGGCCTCCCCTCCCATTGCTGCTGCCAGGCCAGGTAATCTGCCATGGGCCCCCGTACCGCCTCCTCATGCTGCTGCCAGGTCCAGAGTGTCTCATGGGTCCCTGTACGGCCTCCCATTGCTGCTGTCTCCATCGCCACACTCTGCCATGTGCCACTTTCAGGTCTCCTCACACTGCTGGTGGGTTCCATTTTGTCATAGGGTGCTGGCAGATTACGGGCCTCCCATTGCTGCTGCCAGGCCCGTAATCTGCCATGGGCCCCTGTACCGCCTCCTCATGCTGCTGCCAGGTCCAGAGTGTCTCATGGGTCCCTGTATGGGTCCCTGTACGGCCTCCCATTGCTGCTGTCTCCATCGCCACACTCTGCCATGTGCCACACTTTCAGGTCTCCTCACACTGCTGGTGGGTTCCATTTTTTTGTCATAGGGTGCTGGCAGATTACGGGCCTCCCATGCTGCTGCCAGGCCCGTAATCTGCCATGGGCCCCCGTACCGCCTCCTCATGCTGCTGCCTCCATGTCATGGGCCCCTGTGCCTCCTCCTGCTGCCAGGTCCAGAGTGTCTCATGGGTCCCTGTACGGCCTCCCATTGCTGCTGTCTCCATCGCCACACTCTGCCATGTGCCACTTTCAGGTCTCCTCACACTGCTGGTGGGTTCCATTTTGTCATAGGGTGCTGGCAGATTACGGGCCTCCCATTGCTGCTGCCAGGCCATCTGCCATGGGCCCCCGTACCGCCTCTTCATGCTGCTGCCAGGCCATCTGTCATGGGCCCCTGTACCGCCTCCTCATGCTGCTGCCAGGTCCAGAGTGTCTCATGGGTCCCTGTACGGCCTCCCATTGCTGCTGTCTCCATCGCCACACTCTGCCATGTGCCACTTTCAGGTCTCCTCACACTGCTGGTGGGTTCCATTTTGTCATAGGGTGCTGGAGATTACGGGCCTCCCATTGCTGCTGCCAGGCCCGTAATCTGCCATGGGCCCCTGTACCGCCTCCTCATGCTGCTGCCAGGTCCAGAGTGTCTCATGGGTCCCTGTACGGCCTCCCATTGCTGCTGTCTCCATCGCCACACTCTGCCATGTGCCACTTTCAGGTCTCCTCACACTGCTGGTGGGTTCCATTTTGTCATAGGGTGCTGGCAGATTACGGGCCCCCCATTGCTGCTGCCAGGCCCGTAATCTGCCATGGGCCCCTGTACCGCCTCCTCATGCTGCTGCCAGGTCCAGAGTGTCTCATGGGTCCCTGTACGGCCTCCCATTGCTGCTGTCTCCATCGCCACACTCTGCCATGTGCCACTTTCAGGTCTCCTCACACTGCTGGTGGGTTCCATTTTGTCATAGGGTGCTGGCAGATTACGGGCCTCCCATTGCTGCTGCCAGGCCCGTAATCTGCCATGGGCCCCTGTACCGCCTCCTCATGCTGCTGCCAGGTCCAGAGTGTCTCATGGGTCCCTGTACGGCCTCCCATTGCTGCTGCTGTCTCCATCGCCACACTCTGCCATGTGCCACTTTCAGGTCTCCTCACACTGCTGGTGGGTTCCATTTTGTCATAGGGTGCTGGCAGATTACGGGCCTCCCATTGCTGCTGCCAGGCCCGTAATCTGCCATGGGCCCCCCCCCTCCTCATGCTGCTGCCAGGCCCGTAGTCTCTCATGGGGCCCCTGTACCGCCTCCTCATGCTGCTGCCAGGTCCAGAGTGAGTGTGTCATGGGTCCCTGTACGGCCTCCCATTGCTGCTGTCTCCATCGCCACACTCTGCCATGTGCCACTTTCAGGTCTCCTCACACTGCTGGTGGGTTCCATTTTGTCATAGGGTGCTGGCAGATTACGGGCCTCCCATTGCTGCTGCCAGGCCCGTAATCTGCCATGGGCCCCGTACCGCCTCCTCATGCTGCTGCCAGGCCAGTGCCAGGAGTGTAATCTGTCATGGGTCCCCTGTACCGCCTCCTCATGCTGCTGCCAGGTCCAGAGTGTCTCATGGGTCCCTGTACGGCCTCCCATTGCTGCTGTCTCCATCGCCACACTCTGCCATGTGCCACTTTCAGGTCTCCTCACACTGCTGGTGGGTTCCATTTTTTGTCATAGGGTGCTGGCAGATTACGGGCCTCCCATTGCTGCTGCCAGGCCCGTAATCTGCCATGGGCCCCCGTACCCGCCTCCTCATGCTGCTGCCAGGTCCAGAGTGTCTCATGGGTCCCTGTACGGCCTCCCATTGCTGCTGTCTCCATCGCCACACTCTGCCATGTGCCACTTTCAGGTCTCCTCACACTGCTGGTGGGTTCCATTTTTTTGTCATAGGGTGCTGGCAGATTACGGGCCTCCCATTGCTGCTGCCAGGCCCGTAATCTGCCATGGGCCCCTGTACCGCCTCCTCATGCTGCTGCCAGGTCCAGAGTGTCTCATGGGTCCCTGTACGGCCTCCCATTGCTGCTGTCTCCATCGCCACACTCTGCCATGTGCCACTTTCAGGTCTCCTCACACTGCTGGTGGGTTCCATTTTGTCATAGGGTGCTGGCAGATTACGGGCCTCCCATTGCTGCTGCCAGGCCCGTAATCTGCCATGGGCCCCGTACCGCCTCCTCATGCTGCTGCCAGGTCCAGAGTGTCTCATGGGTCCCTGTACGGCCTCCCATTGCTGCTGTCTCCATCGCCACACTCTGCCATGTGCCACTTTCAGGTCTCCTCACACTGCTGGTGGGTTCCATTTTGTCATAGGGTGCTGGCAGAGATTACGGGGCCTCCCATTGCTGCTGCCAGGCCCGTAATCTGCCATGGGCCCCTGTACCGCCTCCTCATGCTGCTGCCAGGTCCAGAGTGTCTCATGGGTCCCTGTACGGCCTCCCATTGCTGCTGTCTCCATCGCCACACTCTGCCATGTGCCACTTTCAGGTCTCCTCACACTGCTGGTGGGTTCCATTTTGTCATAGGGTGCTGGCAGATTACGGGCCTCCCATTGCTGCTGCCAGGCCCGTAATCTGCCATGGGCCCCTGTACCGCCTCCTCATGCTGCTGCCAGGTCCAGAGTGTCTCATGGGTCCCTGTACGGCCTCCCATTGCTGCTGTCTCCATCGCCACACTCTGCCATGTGCCACTTTCAGGTCTCCTCACACTGCTGGTGGGTTCCATTTTGTCATAGGGTGCTGGCAGATTACGGGCCTCCCATTGCTGCTGCCAGGCCCGTAATCTGCCATGGGCCCCCGTACCGCCTCCTCATGCTGCTGCCAGGTCCAGAGTGTCTCATGGGTCCCTGTACGGCCTCCCATTGCTGCTGTCTCCATCGCCACACTCTGCCATGTGCCACTTTCAGGTCTCCTCACACTGCTGGTGGGTTCCATTTTGTCATAGGGTGCTGGCAGATTACGGGCCTCCCATTGCTGCTGCCAGGCCCGTAATCTGCCATGGGCCCCCTGTACCGCCTCCTCATGCTGCTGCTGCCAGGTCCAGAGTGTGTCATGGGTCCCTGTACGGCCTCCCATTGCTGCTGTCTCCATCGCCACACTCTGCCATGTGCCACTTTCAGGTCTCCTCACACTGCTGGTGGGTTCCATTTTGTCATAGGGTGCTGGCAGATTACGGGCCTCCCATTGCTGCTGCCAGGCCCGTAATCTGCCATGGGCCCCCTGTACCGCCTCCTCATGCTGCTGCCAGGTCCAGAGTGTGTCTCATGGGTCCCTGTACGGCCTCCCATTGCTGCTGTCTCCATCGCCCACACTCTGCCATGTGCCACTTTCAGGTCTCCTCACACTGCTGGTGGGTTCCATTTTGTCATAGGGTGCTGGCAGATTACGGGCCTCCCATTGCTGCTGCCAGGCCCGTATCTGCCATCTGCCATGGGCCCCGTACCGCCCTGTACCGCCTCCTCATGCTGCTGCCAGGTCCAGAGTGTCTCATGGGTCCCTGTACGGCCCCATTGCTGCTGTCTCCATCGCCACACTCTGCCATGTGCCACTTTCAGGTCTCCTCACACTGCTGGTGGGTTCCATTTTGTCATAGGGTGCTGGCAGATTACGGGCCTCCCATTTGCTGCTGCCAGGCCCGTAATCTGTCATGGGCCCCCCTGTACCGCCTCCTCATGCTGCTGCCAGGTCCAGAGTGTCTCATGGGTCCCTGTACGGCCTCCCATTGCTGCTGTCTCCATCGCCACACTCTGCCATGTGCCACTTTCAGGTCTCCTCACACTGCTGGTGGGTTCCATTTTGTCATAGGGTGCTGGCAGATTACGGGCCTCCCATTGCTGCTGCCAGGCCCGTAATCTGCCATGGGCCCCGTGTACCGCCTCCTCATGCTGCTGCTGCCAGGTCCAGAGTCTCTCATGGGTCCCTGTACATGGGGCCTCCCATTGCTGCTGTCTCCATCGCCACACTCTGCCATGTGCCACTTTCAGTCTCCTCACACTGCTGGTGGGTTCCATTTTGTCATAGGGTGCTGGCAGATTACGGGTCCCTGGCAGATTACGGGGCCTCCCATTGCTGCTGCCAGGCCCGTAATCTGCCATGGGCCCCCTGTACCGCCTCCTCATGCTGCTGCCAGGTCCAGAGTGTGTCATGGGTCCCTGTACGGCCTCCCATTGCTGCTGTCTCCATCGCCACACTCTGCCATGTGCCACTTTCAGGTCTCCTCACACTGCTGGTGGGTTCCATTTTGTCATTTTGCATAGGGTGCTGCTGCCAGGCAGATTACGGGCCTCCCATTGCTGCTGCCAGGCCCGTAATCTGCCATGGGCCCCTGTACCGCCTCCTCATGCTGCTGCCAGGTCCAGAGTGTCTCATGGGTCCCTGTACGGCCTCCCATTGCTGCTGTCTCCATCGCCACACTCTGCCATGTGCCACTTTCAGGTCTCCTCACACTGCTGGTGGGTTCCATTTTTTGTCATAGGGTGCTGGCAGATTACGGGCCTCCCATTGCTGCTGCCAGGCCCGTAATCTGCCATGGGCCCCCCCGTACCGCCTCCTCATGCTGCTGCCAGGTCCAGAGTGTCTCATGGGTCCCTGTACGGCCTCCCATTGCTGCTGTCTCCATACTGCATGCCAGGTCCAGAGTGTGTCATGGGTCCCTGTACGGCCTCCTCACATTGCTGCTGTCTCCATCGCCACACTCTGCCATGTGCCACTTTCAGGTCTCCTCACACTGCTGGTGGGTTCCATTTTGTCATAGGGTGCTGGCAGATTACGGGCCTCCCATTGCTGCTGCCAGGCCCGTAATCTGCCATGGGCCCCCGTACCGCCTCCTCATGCTGCTGCCAGGTCCAGAGTGTGTCATGGGTCCCTGTACGGCCTCCCATTGCTGCTGTCTCCATCGCCACACTCTGCCATGTGCCACTTTCAGGTCTCCTCACACTGCTGGTGGGTTCCATTTTGTCATAGGGTGCTGGCAGATTACGGGCCTCCCATTGCTGCTGCCAGGCCCGTAATCTGCCATGGGCCCCCGTACCGACTCCTCATGCTGCTGCCAGGCCCGTAATCTGTCATGGGCCCCTGTACCGCCTCCTCATGCTGCTGCCAGGGTCCAGAGTGTCTCATGGGTCCCTGTACGGCCTCCCATTTGCTGCTGTCTCCATCGCCACACTCTGCCATGTGCCACTTTCAGGTCTCCTCACACTGCTGGTGGGTTCCATTTTGTCATAGGGTGCTGGCAGATTACGGGCCTCCCATTGCTGCTGCCAGGCCCGTAATCTGCCATGGGCCCCTCGTACCGCCTCCTCATGCTGCTGCCAGGTCCAGAGTGTCTCATGGGTCCCTGTACAGCCTCCCATTGCTGCTGTCTCCATCGCCACACTCTGCCATGTGCCACTGTCAGGTCTCCTCACACTGCTGGTGGGTTCCATTTTGTCATAGGGTGCTGGCAGATTACGGGCCTCCCATTGCTGCTGCCAGGCCGTAATCTGCCATGCCCCCGTACCGCTCCTCATGCTGCTGCCAGGTCCAGAGTGTCTCATGGGTCCCTGTATGGCCTCCCATTGCTGCTGTCTCCATCGCCACATTCTGCCATGTACCACTTTCAGGTCTCCTCACACTGCTGGTGGGTTCCATTTTGTCATAGGGTGCTGGCAGATTAAGGGCCTCCAATTGCATGCTGCTGCCAGGCCCGTAATCTGCCATGGGCCCCCGTACCGCCTCCTCATGCTGCTGCCACGTGCAGAGTGTCTCATGGATCCCTGTACGTCCTCCCATTGCTGCTGTCTCCATCGCCACACTCTGCCATGTGCCACTTTCAGGTCTCCTCACACTGCTGGTGGGTTCCATTTTGTCATAGGGTGCTGTATGGCCTCCCATTGCTGCTGCCTCCACCGCCACACTGTGGCTCCACACTCTGGTTTTGGCCCCGTGACTGCCCAAATGAGTGAAGTGTGTGCGGTGATTCTAAGATCGAAGGCACTCATCTGCATGTCATAGTGACTGACAGAATTATTTCTCTTCCCCTGCAGACTCCAAGGGCATTTAAATTAAAGGTACAGTGTTCTGCACTAATATAAAGGCTCTCTGAAGCCTAGAAACACCCTTTTTATAAGTTAAATTCGCAGCGAATATATTCGACTCGAATCTAATTTATTCCGCGAATTCGCCGAATCAGCCGAATCGAATTTTTGAATACTTCGCTCATCTCTAGTAACAATGTCTGACTCAATAATTTCTACAAACTCTGGACTCAATGCAAAAGTGTTAAATTTATCGAAGCAAAGTTTTACCAGTGTACTGCTATATGAACACTTGGCATTTGAAAATCTGAGAGCCCTGCTCTCTACACCCAGTAGGCACAGAGCACTTACAGTGTTTCATGGCTCATCATGGTTCTCAAATAATTCTTTATCAGTGCCAATATGATGAATTTGACTCTCAGTGTCAGGCAGACATTCCATAAATGCATGACACAACACCCCTATGAGATAACACATGCATTCACAGACTGCCTTCCTTAACGGTTCTCTTGTGCCACAAAACTTCATTTAAAACCATACAATACACCAACATGGAAATTTTTACTAATTTCAGGCAAAATATTGCTTCACAAAACAAAGTTCATAAGTTGTATTTAAATATGTATTTAAATATGTCTTTTTTTCTATAGAAGAGGGCCCCTTCAGGCAGGAAACCTAAGGCAGTACAACCATATGCCCCCTTATAATGGCACTGCCAGCAGCAAAACAATTTAAATCATTGAGAATAAATCTGGCCATAGCTGATTTTTTTTTTTTATTCAGTCAGCGGGCTGAACAAAAAAACTAACAGATTAATTTATACAAACACGGCTGATAGAGGAACCCTTCCCACCAAGATATTGTATTCTTACAGAGGGACTCTCCACTGTCAGAATTCACCAATCAGCCAATAAGCTGCAGCCAGCTGATCAAAAAATTTTTTTCCAACAAATCAGTCCCACATAAGTCAATCTAACAACCAACTTCTGTCAAACATGCACAGCCACACATGGATCAAAATTTAGCTGATCCCTGCTGAACTGACAAAATTTCAATCCATCTATGAACAACTTTAGTCTAAATTAGATTTGTTATTATTATGGGGATAGGAGGTGTGGTGAGTATGAGTAATATAATGTGAGACATTTTGGCTGCACACTGTTTTTGTAGTTAGATTAGAACAGATGGTCAACAACAAGCAAATGCTGAGCTTTGAGGACAAGAAACAAGAAATATACGACCAAAAGAAATGTCAACCACAAAATACCAGCCCCAAAACAGCCCATTGTTTTATTCTAAGGGAAAGCCCTTTTCTAGAAAAAAAACATTTAGTAGTCAATGAGTTTGTTAGCTCTTACGTAAAAGCGCTGGCTAGGCTAGATACTAAGCCATGGGGATCAGAACAGAACTGTCAAAAGTCCTGCGTAACAAGGTAATGGAGCTTTATAAATGTGGAAAAGGACATATAAAGATGTCCAAAGCCTTGAAAATGCCAATCAGTACTGTTAAATCACTTAAGAAGTGGAAAGTTCGGGGATCTCTTGATACCAAGCCAAGGTCAAGTAGATCAAGAAAGATTGCAGCCACAACTGCCAGAAGAATTGTTCGGGATACAAAGAGAAACCCATAGGTAACCACAAGAAAAATACAGGCTGCTCTGGAAAAAGACAGTGTGGTTGTTTTTGAAGGAGCATAATATGATGACACTTGAACAAAAATGATCTACATGGTCGAGGTGCCAGAAAGAAGCCTTTACTACATCAATGACACAAAAAGGCCTGGTTAGGCATGTCAAGGTGTTGTCAGGCATATTGTAACTGGGCTTTTTTGTGGCATTGGTGCAGTAAAAGCTTCTTTCTGGCACCTCGACCAAACAGCTCATTTTTATTCAAGTATCTTGGTATTGTACTCCTTAAAAACAACCACGCCATCTTTTTCCAGAGCAGCCTGTATTTCTTTTGAGGTTGCCTGTGGGTTTTCCTTTGCATCCCGGACAATTCTTCTGTCAATTATAGCTGCAATCTTTCTTGGTCTACCTGACCTTGGCTTGGTATCAAGAGATCCCCAAACTTTCCACTTCTTAATAGTACTGATTGGCATATTCAAGGCTTTGGACAATCTTTATATGTCCTTTTCCATCTTTATAAAGTTCCATTATTTTGTTACGCAGGACTTTTGACAGTTCTTTTCTGATCCCCGTGGCTCAGTATCTAGCCTAGTCTGTCAGGAATGGACTGGCCAGCAATGGTGGGACTCACCTGCCTTATGGGCTGCAGTACCAGGGCTGGCCAGCGGGTGCTCCCAGCAATCAGAGACTCAACCTTGCAGCCAGCCAAACACCTGAAACTGCTTTATACTGGTGTATTTAAGGATGGCCAGACCTGCAGACTCGGCCTTGGTATGTGTTTTTCCTGGGCCCTGTATCCTGTTCCTGCATCCTGTTCCTGTTCCTGTTCCTGTTCTGTCTTGTTGCTGACCCTGCCTGATCTGGACCTCTGCTGACTTCTTCTCCTGCTCTGACCCCGGCTTGTTCCTGACCATCCCTCTGCCTGACCCTCTGTACCACGCTGCCCGCTACCTGCTGAACCTGGCTTGTGACCCCGACCATTCTCCGCTTGCTCCCCCCTGTATACCTACCTGCCCGATTGATATTTGACCCGGCCTGCCTGACGACGCTTGCATTGTATGTACTGTCATCTGTGGGTGGTTGGTTTGGTTGTTTGCACTGTGTTATGTTTTAGTATTGCACTGCGTTTATGTTTATTATTGTTAGTGTTAATAAATTATATTGTTTATAACATATCTGAAGTCTGCGTTTCCCTGCGTCAGTCACACACCTCTGGTCATACCCAGGAGCCCTGACATTACACCAAGGCCAATCCTGACCAAAGTGGCTGCACAGGGAAGCCATCTTGGTTTGTTGATGGGAAGGATGGATCTTGATGAGGTTGTGTATTTATATCTGCTAGTGTTTGATGACAGAGAGTATGCTTATCAGACTCTGAAGGAGTATCCCGGGATGAACTGCTAGAATGTATACGGCTCGCTCATGTTCTAGTAGATCAGGGCACAGAATTCTCTGAGGTGCAGCCATTGATTCAGGTTTGTGCGGAGTTGGTTTCATCTGGTACCTCCCGAATGCAGGGATGAATTTTTGCCACCATTTTAGTGCCGACCAGGTAGAGTCCCTGGTATGGTTATTAGAGGATGATGTGGATTACTTTCTGGAGCGTTATTCTGCATGTTCACCACAGATACTAAGAGATTGTATAAACGCAGTGCAGTCTTTGGTCAGACAGGCTTTGTGTAAGCTCAGCTTTGTCAACCCATACTGCAGACATGGACAGATTTGTTGCACCCAGCCTCAGTCAGCTTACAAAAACCCAGTCCTGCTTCTAATCTATTTCCTCAAAGCTCTATTCCTGCATTCCCTACAGCTCCTCCTGCCCTGCTATCTACCGCATGTCAGTACCCTGTTCCCACTCGCTGCACCTATCCTGCCTTTAACCCTGTAAAAAAGCCCTCTGTAGCAACTGTTCCCTCCCCTGTTCCATCCTCCAGCTCTTCTCTGTCTCCAGCTGCTCCATTCATTTGCAGACCTGCGTTTACTTGCAGTGCTCCAGTAGTTAAAACCAGAAAAAAGCGAAAATTCTTTCCAACCATTAATACATCCTGCCAGTATCCAAACCGGTGAGTCTGCCGTCTGAGAACCTGCCTTCTGTGGTTCAGCCTGGTGCCTCGGCACCCGCACTTCAGCCTGAGGTCTGTACCCAGCGCCTGATGCCTGTACCCAGCCTGATGCCTGTACCCAGCCTGATGAACTGATCCAGCCTGATGTCTGTACCCAGCCTGATGCCTGTACTCAGCCTGATGCCTGTACTCAGCCTGATGCCTGTACTCAGCCTGATGCCTCTACTCAGCTTGATGCTGCCTCTACTCAGAGCCTGATGCCTCCATTCAGCCTGATGCCTCCATTCAGCTGATGCCTCTACCCAGCCTGATGAACTGATCCAGCCTGATGATCCTATTAGGCAGTTGACTCGATGCCCGCTGTTGATCCAGACGATCCAATGTCTGACCCAGTGCCCGCGGTCATGCCAGTTGACTCGGAGCCCACTGCCTTGCCAGATGACGCGGTGCCCGCTGTCGAGCCAAATGACCTGATGCCTGGTGACCCGAATGCCCGCTGTCCAGCCCAGAACGATCCAATGTCTCTGACCAGTGCCCGCAGTCATGCCATTTGACTCGGAGCCCACTGCCTTGCCAGATGACGCGGTGCCCGCTGTCGAGCCAAATGACCTGATGCCTGGTGACCTGATGCCCGCTGTCCAGCCAGACGATCCAATGTCTGACCCAGTGCCAGCGGTCCATGCCAGGTGACTCGGAGCCCACTGTTGTGCCTGGTGACTCGGTGCCTGTCGCTCCGCCTGGGGGTACCCGGCGCCCGCCGCTCCGCCTGGGGGCCCGAGACCTGTCGCTCCGCCTGGGGATCCGGCGCCCCGCCGCTCCGCCTGGGGGCCCGAGACCTGTCGCTCCGCCTGGGGGTCCGGTTGCCCACCGCTCCGCCTGGGGGCCCGAGACCTGTCGCATCTGCCTGGGGGGTCCGGCGCCCGCCGCTCCCGCCTGGGGGCCCGAGACCTGTCGCCCCCGCTTGGGGGTCCGGCGCCCACTGCTCCGCCTGGGGGCCCGAGACCTGTCGCTCGCCGCTGGGGGGTTCCGGCGCCCGCCGCTCCGCTTGGGGGCCCGATGCCTGTCGCACCGCCTGGGCGTCCGGCGCCCGCCGCTCCCGCCTGGGGGCCCGATGCCTGTCGCCCCTCCTGGGGGGCCCGGCGCCCGCCGCTCCGCCTGGGGGCCCGATGCCCGTCGCCCCGCCTGGGGGCCCAATGCCTGTCGCCCCGCCTGGGGGCCCGATGTTGCCTGTCGCCCCGCCTGGGGGCCTGATGCCTGTCGCCCTCCTGGGGGCCTGGCGCCCGCCGCTCCGCCTGGGGGCCCGAGACCTGTCACTCCGCTGGGGGGGGGTCCGGCGCCGCCCCGCTCCGCCTGGGGGCCTGATGCCTGTCGCCCCTCCTGGGGGCCTGGCGCCCCCGCCGCTCCGCCTGGGGGCCCGAGAGACCTGTCGCTCCGCCTGGGGTCTGGCGCCCGCCGCTCCGCCTGGGGGGCCCGATGCCTGTCGCCCCGCCTGGAGGGCCCGGTGCCTGTCGCCCCGCCTGGGGGCCCGGTGCCTGCTGCTCCGCCTGGGGGCCCGGTGCCTGCTGTTCCGCCTGGTGGCCCGCTGCCTGCTGCTCCCGCATGGTGGCCCGGTGCCTGCTGCTCCGCCTGGTGATCAGATGTGCCTCTGCCCGGAGTCCAGCCCGATGTGCCTCTGCCCAGAGTCCAGCCCGATGTGCCTCTGCCCGGAGTCCAGCCCGATGTGCCTCTGCCCGGAGTCCAGCCCGATGTGCCTCTGCCCGGAGTCCAGCCCGATGTGCCTCTGCCCGGAGTCCAGCCCGATGTGCCTCTGCCCGGAGTCCAGCCCAATGTGCCTCTGCCCGGTGTGCCTCTGCCCGATGGGCCTCTGCCCGGAGTCCTGCCCGGTGTGCCGCTGCCCGGAGTCCTGCCCGGTGTGCCAGTCTTTGATATCCCCGCCAGTTACCAGACCCGGGCGGTGGAACATTTTGCCCAGCTAGGACTGTTTGGAGCGTCCTGAGGCCGTTCCATGAGGGGGGGGGGTACTGTCAGGAATGGACTGGCCAGCAATGGTGGGACTCACCTGCCTTATGGGCTGCAGTACCAGGGCTGGCCAGCGGGTGCTCCCAGCAATCAGAGACTCAACCTTGCAGCCAGCCAAACACCTGAAACTGCTTATACTGGTGTATTTAAGGGATGGCCAGACCTGCAGACTCGGCCTTGGTATGTGTTTTTCCTGGGCCTGTATCCTGTTCCTGCATCCTGTTCCTGTTCCTGTCTTTTTGCTGACCCTGCCTAATCTGGACCTCTGCTGACTTCTCCTGCTCTGACCCGGCTTGTTCCTGACCATCCCTCTGCCTGACCCTCTGTACCACGCTGCCCGCTGCCTGCTGAACCTGGCTTGTGACCCCGACCATTCTCCGCTTGCTCCCCCTGTACCTACCTGCCCGATTGATATTGACCCGGCCTGCCTGACGACGCTTCCATTGTATGTACTGTTATCTGTGGGTGGTTGGTTTGGTTCGTTTGCACTGTGTTATGTTTAGTATTGCACTGCGTTTATGTTTGTATTGTTAGTGTTAATAAATTATATTGTTTATAACATATCTGAAGCTTGCGTTTCCCTGCGTCAGTCACACACCTCTGGTCATACCCGGGAGCCCTGACATAGTCAGTGCTTCCATGTAAGAGCTAACAAACTCATTAACTATTTATACAACTGACACTGATTGCAATTTAAAAAGCCACAGATGTGGAACATTAACCTCTAATTGGCATTTTAAACAATGTGTGTCACCTTGCGTGTCTGTACCAAGGCCAAACATTCCAGGGTATGTAAACTTTTGATCATGGCCATTTGGGTGATTTCTGTTATTATTATGATCTAAAAAAGGAGCCAAACAACTATTTGATAATAAATGGCTTCATATGATCATCTTCCTTCAAAAAAAGAGCATTTTTTGGCATGATCAGTCATATTTTTAATATCAATGCCAAAATTTCACAATGTAATCATCCAAAAGTAGACAGAGTAGGAGACAATTGGAGTGATTGGGGGAGGGAATTCTATAGGATGGGACACTGTCTTGGAAGTGAGCATGGTAGGAAGTGAGAAGGAACTAGAGAGCAGGAGGTCTTGGGAGGAGCAAAGAGAACAATTTGGTTGATATTTTGAGACTAGGTTAGTGATATAGCTGGGAGCAGAGTTGTGGATGGCTTTGTATGTTGTTAGTATTTTGAATTTAAGTCTTTGGGTTAGAGGAGGCCAGTGGAGGGATTGGCAGAGAGGAGTAGCAGACGCAGAAGGGTTGGTAAGGTGGATAAGTCTGGCAGCAGCATTCATGATGGACTGAAGGGGGATAGCCTATGTAGCGATAAGCCAGTGAGGAGGGAGTTGCAGTAGTCGAGGTGGGAGATGACTTGGGAGTGAAATAGAAGTGTTGTAGTGTCATTGGTTAGGAAGGGAAGCAAAATGGCAGCCTCCAGCAAGAAGAAACAGGCGCAATCATGGAGGCAATTTACAGCACACACTAATTTTGGTAGAATAATTATTAATATGGAATGTATGTTCCTTGCTAAAGAACATTATTTTTTAGCAATTTGTTATGGGTAAAGTTCCAATTTAAGGATCTGTTTAGACATGAATGTGCAGTAAAATTCTCAAAAATAGACGTGCATTGCCTACCATTGTCATGCATTGCTGCACATTTTGATGTGCGTTCCCACGCGATTTAATGACATTGACATTTGTTGATATAAATTTTTTTTTATGCACATTAAATTGCTATGCATTTTGCAAGTTAGTTCCTCTGACATTACAGCCTTTTCCTGTTTGTGGGTTAAGTGAAAGAGTGAGGGAGAAAAATATATAGAGAGAGAGGCAAAGAAATTTTTGACAATAGCTAATAGGATGTCTAGGGTAACAGCCCTAATCATTGTGATGGTGCTAGCTATATTGAGGAGAAGGGGGGAGGCAGATATGGAGACTGGGGCAAGCCAAATGGCACTACTGAGTGCATCCATTGCTCACAAAATGTGAGAGTAAAGGGCAGTTTTGGATCTTATACCAGGATTTACAATGTCACTCATCTATTTCTATAAACCCAGTCATTGAGACACCCAACTAGCCAGCTTTCCACTGCACACTCTCTACTTCCCTTCTATAATGGCTGCCATATGGGTCCTTTTAATGGACAAAATAATAAAATGCTTCTTTTTTTTTTCTCAGTAGACTTGTGTTACATTGATGAGCATTTACATGCATTTACGTGCATTACATTAAAATGCATACATGTAGAATTTTAACCCAATTCACCACACTGCACATGACACCAGCATTGTGGTGTGAAGTGGACACATAGAAAACAATTGTTTCCTTGTGATGGCTTGCATCCTTCCAGTGCAGTAAAATTCAGGTCACTGCAGTATGTGTGAACAAGGCGTTAGAAAACTGTGGCAATGTTGGCCAAACATTGCCCATATAATAGGAGTCCACAGGGGCACTCAAACAAGTAGTTAGCATATAATGAGTGTAATTCATTAATGCTGGAGACAAGAAAATACAGTGTCAGGAAAGTAGTACAGCTAATGCTAATTCTTCTTCAGTTAAGGCTAATTCTGATGTGAGTTTGTTCTTGACCTTGTTCTGTGGATTCTGGATTCTGACCTTGGCTTGCCTTAGACAACTCTCTGCCTGATCTCCTGGTGCTGACCACAGCTTGCCTTTGACTATTCTCTGCCTGATCTCCTGGTGCTGACCTCAGCGTGCTACTGGACCTCGCCCTGCTGGTTAACCAAGTACAGACCTCAGCCTGCTTCCTGACCATGCTGCTGTCTCACTGTGTATGACCCTGGCTCACCTTGACTATGTCCCTGACCATGGCAGTCACCTGCTATCAAGCTACCAGCACCAGTGCTTCTTTGAGCCTTGTACCTCTGTCACCACATTCAGGGGGGCTCGCACCAGAGCTGCAAGGAAAGCCCTCTCATCAACTCGGCCTACAGACACGTTACAAGACATACAGACAAAATTGCCATCTTATCAAGTCAGGCAAATAAGTGTTATCTTCCATTTTATTTGGTAAATTAAGCAAGTATTCTTCTGTACTTGTTTTTGTTCCACTTTTACTAAATCAGCCTCACTGTGTCACACATTAACAAAATAGAATTATGGCCTCCATAAAAAAAAAAAAATATGTGCTGCAGAACTTATTTAGAAGTGCATTGGTACATGCAGTTTTCTCTTAGATCCCCTGCAAATCCCAAAAATACCTGTTGATCCTACTAGTGAAGCCTGTCTAATGCAGTTTCATGTGATGGTGCAACAACAATGCTGCACTGCTCCTGAATTCAGAGTTGCCACTTTCATGTAGGATGTGCCGGGCTTACACTAAATTAGGGTGAAAAAATGTTGCGGAAAGCCCCACCTTCATCTCCCCATTGCTTTCTGGACTAGACAAGAGAAGGGCCCTGTTGCTAAAAACCTCTCACTGTGAGCTGCAGCGTCTAGAAGGGGAATCATGTGAGACTCAAATGAAAGTAAAATACATTGATTTTTACTACAAGATGCACTGTTTAGATAAATTACACTGATTAGATATAATGATGGGTTTTTTCACACGGTTCAGCATACTCGCTTTAAAAGGTCCACTGTAATCTGGATTGTATATCTTATCTGTAAGGTTCTTATCAGTAGTAGCCCGGTATACAGTAATACCAGGTTCATTGTAATGTTGCATTTCTTGCCCCCTTTGTCTCCTTTTTTTTGTTTATATAATACTCAATTTTTGTCTACTACATTGGATGCGTCTGTTTTTAGGGATGTTTATCAAGTAAAAACTTTTTTTAAAGAAGAAAAGATACATAAGCCGCACATTTAAGGCAGATCCATGTGCATGATGTGCAATGAATGGCAGTCTCAACCCGGGTCTCCAGCCAGGCAAAGCCACCAACGCGTTTCGCTCTGCCCCTTGGAGCTTAATCATGGGGCTTTTTTACAGCATTGACACATTATTTTCATGAATGTTTCATATTGGTTTAGTGGAGGGCTTTTTGGTTCCTACAAAGTGTATGAATGGACAAAAAAAAAAAAAAACATGTTCAGTTTATCTCTACAATATGTACCGCTACCCCTGCATGGGCCGCTTGATAATGCTTGCCCCCAGTGGTTGTCCTAACCTTGCAAGACTCCCAACACCGCTGACACTCTGGGTTCAGGCATTATTCAATAGTATAAAACAATAATAAAAGAGGCACGATTCTTTAGTAACCCCTCTGTATTAGGCTTGTTCAAAAGAGCAGACCACAGAATGAAGGTTTAGGAGATACATTCCCAGTTAACGCATAAAAGCAAAACACTGATAAAATGGAAATAACCAAATAGCAATGGTTAACAAATTATACAGTAACAAATTCTACGTTGTAATATGTTATATGGCCTGTACAATTAAGCCCCTACTGGGTGAAACATGTTAGTGGGGTTCTCTCATGTCTAGGAGACCAAGTTAAAGCCATTGTTTTACTAAGAAGTGTTTAGTATATGCAGAAGCAGTGTGCAGACAGGTGCGATTTTAATTTATTGTATAGTCTCAGAGCTGGGGTATTGGTATGTCCATAGTATATTCTACATGTCGGCAGTTTTAGGGCCCTTTAATTGTTGCCCCTCCTCTGGTGATGTAGAGGGTGGAGTCTATGACCTTTTTATTAGCAGTTGTGGGTGGGTCCTTGCAGCTCGGGTATGAGAACAGGATATCCCTGACCAACACCATGTAGGTT